GAATATCTGTATGCATTGATTGTGGATCAAAGCAATTTATATGCACAACAATTTATTGCCGCCAACCCAAATTCAAACCTTGCCAGGCCAGTCGCATGGAAACTCATTACGGTTTCCGAATTTACATTTTTTTTGGGCCTAACCCTCAACATGGGCATTACTAAAAGAAATGAATTGCGGTTGTATTAGTCCGCAGACCCAATTCATCATATGCCCATTCTCTGCTGCCATGGCCAGGCATATATACAGTTGCAAGAAAAAGTATGTGAACCCCTTGGGATTACGTGGAGTTTTGCATGAATTGGGCATAAAAAATGTGCTCTGAACGTCATCTAAGTCACAACAATAGAAGAACACAGTCTGCTGAACATAATACTACACAAACATTAGATGTTGCCATGGTTTAATTGCACATAACATGTAAACATTCACAGTGCAGGGAGGAAAAAGTATGTGAGGCCCTAGCTTAATGACTTCTCCCAGAGCTAATTGGAGCCAGGAGTGAGCCAACCTTGACTCCAATCAGTGTGATGATATTGGATGTGTTGCTGACAGCTGTCCTGCCCTTAAAAAACACACACCTGTTTTGGGTTTACTGGTTTCAAGAAGCACTGTCTGATGTGAACCATGCCTCGCAGAAAAGAGCTCTCAGAAGACCTACGATCAAGAATTGTTGACTTTCATGAAGCTGGAAAGGGTTACAAAAGTATCTCCAAAAGCCTTGATGTTCATATGTCCATGGTAAGACAGACTGTCTACAAATGGAGAAAGTTTAGCACTGTTGCTACTCTCCCTAGGCTTGGTCGTCCTGTAAAAATGACTGCAAGAGCACAGCGCAGAATGCTGCATGAGATAAAGAAGAATCCCAGAGTGTCAGCTAAAGACCTACAGAAATCTCTGGCACATGCTAACATTTTTGTTGACACATCTACAATAAGGAAAACATTAAACAAGAATGGAGTACATGGGAGGACACCACGGAGGAAGCCATTGCTGTCCAAAAAGAATATTTCAGCACGTTTGAAGTTTGCAAAAGAGCACCTGGATGTTCCACAGCACTACTGGCAAAATATACTGTGGACAGATGAAACCAAGATTGAGTTGTTTGGGAAGAACACACAACACTATGTGTGGAGACAAAAAAGGCACAGCACACCAACATCAAAACCTCATCCCCACTGTAAAACATGGCGGAGGGGAGCATCATGGTTTGGGGCTGCTTTGCTGCCTCAGGGCCTGGACGGATTGTTGTCATTGATGGGAAAATGAATTCCAGAGTTTATCAAGACATTTTGCAGGAAAATGTACGACCATCTGTCCGCCAACTGGAGCTCCGCAGAGGATGGGTGATGCAACAGGACAATGACCCAAAGCATACAAGTAATTCAACAAAACAATGGCTGCAACAGCACAGAATATGCCTTCTGGAGTGGCCCAGTCAGAGTCCTGACCTCAGCCCGATTGAAATGCTGTGGCATGACCTTAAGAGAGCGATTCACACCAGACATCCCAAGAATATTGCTACACTAAAACAGTTTTGTGAAGAGGAGTGGTCCAAAATTACTCCAGATCGTTGTGCAGGTCTGATCTGCAACTACAGGAAATGTTTGGTTGAGGTTATTGCTGCCAAAGGAGGGTCAACCAGTTATTAATTCCAAAGGTTCACATACTTTTTCCTCCCTGCATTGTGAATGTTTACATGTTATGTGCAATTAAACCATGGCAACATCTAATGTTTGTGTAGTATTATGTTCAGCAGACTGTGTTCTTCTATTGTTGTGACTTAGATGACGTTCAGAGCACATTTTATGCCCAATTCATGCAAAACTCCACGTAATCCCAAGGGGTTCACATACTTTTTCTTGCAACTGTATGAGAGCATAATCTGTTTTTATGCATTTCAATGACAATACACTCTGTCATCCTTGGGGTGACCCTGAATTTGATTGGCTCCACAAAATTCAGCCCTCGCAAATCACCTTAACCAAAAATTTGCAGATGTCTATACTCTCGAGCAAAACATCTGTGTTGATGAGTCCCTGATTAATTTTTCTGGCCACCTTGCATTCAAACAATTTCTCCCCAGCAAGCGTGCCAGATATGGGGTCAAGATGTAGAAGACCTGTGAGAGGACAACAGGCTATACTTTTAAGTTTTGGATTTACGAGGGAAAAGTCACGTTGAGCCCCCCGGATGCCCAGACTACATGGGGAGCAGTAGCAGGATAGTTTGGGACTTGGCATCATCCTTTTTCCATATGGGGTACCACTTATACGTGGACAATTTTGATTCAAGTGTGCCACTATTTAGACATTTGTACAATCTTGGAACTGGCGCATGTGGCAAAGTGTGACCTAATGTGTGACCACCATTAGAAGTGGGTGGATGCAGGGAGGAATATTCTAATGGTGGGCATACCACACACTTTTTCTGGCAGAGATTTCTTCTCTTTTTTTCATTCAGTCCACAGGCTGCATACAAAAAAAAAAGAACATAGCATATACACCCAACAAGGACCAGCGACATACTGGTACATCACTGAACTTTGAATGGTTATACCAGGATGATGCCTACAGCTGCAGGCATCATCCTGGTATTGTTTTTTTCAGCCGGCAATTGGCTTTTATGCAAAAGCAATCCTAGTGGCAATCCTTAGCTGCAGGATTGATTTTACAAGCAGTGGAATATGATGCCCCCCCCTCCCCCGCTGCCTTCTACGGCCTTCTTGGGCAGTCTCGTGCTATCGGGGGAACCTGAGAATGCAGCCGGTGTTTCTGCCAGCTGACCAAAGAGCTGATTGGAGACCAGAGTGGTGCCAATCATCTCTATAGTCTAAGAATTCGGAAGCTATGAGCATTTCATCACTTCAGTTTCACAGGATATAAACAGCGCTATTTGTAAATTGGGAAAGCATCTGATAACAACGATTTTGGTTTGATTAGACAATGTAAGGGCAGAGGATAGACCCCAGATTTCTCACAAAAGAATATATGACAATGCCCATTGAAGTTATAGGGGATATTTGCATTCCCTGTGATAGCATTAAAAGTGATAAAAAAAATGAAAGGAACAGTGTAAAAATAATTTTAAAAAATCAAAATAACTTAAAAAAAAAACCTTGCCTCTCCCATGCACCCACACCTGTGTGCTCAAGCGTTGACCCTGTGCCGGTATGTAAACAGCGGTTGCACCATACATGTGAGACATCGCCGTGAACGTCTATTGAGGTATTAGGAAGTGAAATGAGGAAGTTACGCACCTTCAGGCTTTCAAAGTGGTCATTGGATTTCAGGCTCCTGTATGTGGCTAGGCTCCCAAAAAGTCTCACACATGTGGTATCCCCATACTCAGTAGAAGTAGCAGAATGTATTTTGGGGTGTAATTCCACATATACCCATTGCTAGTGTGAGAAATAAATTATTTAAATGAAAACTTTGTGTAAAAAAACAAAACACGTTTTTGTCATTTTTCCAGAAACTTGTGGGAAAAAAATAAATCTTCCATGGACTCAATATGCCTCTCAGCAGATATCTTGTGGTGTCTACTTTCCAAAAAAGGGTCATTTGAGGGTGTTTGTACTATCCTGGTATTTTAGCACCTCAAGAAATGTGATGAGCAGTCAGAAAGTAAAACCTGTGTAAATTTCATTATCTATACCATAGTTTGTAGACGCTATAACTTCCACACAAAGCAATAAATATACACTTCCTGGGATTTTTTTAACCAAAAACATGTAGCAGAATACATTTTGGCCTAAATTTATGATGAAATTTTAGTTTTTTTTTTGGATATTTTTTATGACTGAAATGAGAAAATATTGTTTTTTTAAAAAAAAAAATTTCTTCAAAACATTTTTTGTTTATAGCGCCAAAAATAAAAAGTGCACAGGTGATCAAATACCACCAAAAGAAAGCTCTATTTGTGTGAAAAAAGGACATAAATTTCATTTATGTACCATATTGCATGACCGCGCAATTTTCCGTTAAACTAGCGCAGCACTGTATTGCAAAAAATGGCATATATTGCAGTATTTATACCATACTTTGTAGACGCTATAACTTTCACACAAAGCAATCAATATACACTTATTGGGATTTTTTTTTACCAAAAACATGGAGCAGAATACATTTTGACCTAAATTTATAACTAACTTAGAGTTTACTATATATTTTTTATAGCTGAAAAGTAAAAAAAATATAATTTTTCTTCAAAACTTTTGGGGTTTTCTTGTTTATAGCGTGAAAAATAAAAAGCGCACAGGTGATCAAATACCACCAAAAGAAAGCTCTATTTGTGTGGAAAAAAGGACGTAAATTTCGTTTGGATGCAGCATTGCATGACCGCGCAATTATCAGTTGAATTAGTGCAGCGCCGAGTAGCAAAAAGAGGGGGGTAAATCCTCAGGAATGTGGTTAACTGACTTAATTATTTTGAGCTACCGTATTTTTCGCTCCATAAGACGCACCTAGATTTTAGAGGCAAAAAACAGGAAAAAAAAATTCTGAACCAATGGACTGCAGACATAGTATAGGAGATGACCAGAGACTGTGGACATAATACAGGAGATGACCAGAGACTGAGGACACAGTACAGGGGATGACCAGAGACTGCGGATATAGTACAGGAGATGGCCAGAGACTGCGGACACAGTACAGGAGATGACCAGAGACTGCACACAGTACAGGAGATGACCAGAGACTGCAGACATAGTACAGGAGATGACCAGAGACTGCGGACATAGTACAGGATATGGCCAGAGACTGCAGACACAGTACAGGATATGGCCAGAGACTGCGGACACAGTACAGGAGATGACCAGAGACTGCGGACACAGTACAGGAGATGACCAGAGACTGCGGACACAGTACAGGAGATGACCAGAGACTGCGGACACAGTGCAGGAGATGACCAGAGACTGCGGACACAGTGCAGGAGATGACCAGAGAATGCGGACAGTGCAGGGAATAACCAGACTGCAGACAGTGCAATGGATACCAGAGACTGCAGACAGTAAAGGAGATGACCAGAGACTGCGGACCTTTGGGGAGGGAGGGGGAGCGGGTACCTGAATTTGACAGGTACCCGCTCCCACTTCCGCGGCGTTGTCCTTCTCTCTTCTTCCCGCGCCGGCTTCTGTGACAGCCAGGTGCCCACTGCGCATGTGCGAGAAGCGCTGCGCTTTGTGAATGGTCCAGCGCCTTCTGGGACCTGTCATGTGTCCCAGAAGACACCTGACCATTCACAAAGCGAAGCGCATGCGCAGTGGGCACCCGGCTGTCACAGAAACTAGGGAGGGAAGACTGTGCAGTGCTGGAGCGAGGAATAGGCAAGGCCCTGTAAGAGAGAACAGCTGAGTGGCCGGCCCGGTATTCTGACATGGTGGCGGCAGAAATACCGGACCGGCCGCTTTATATTCGCTCAATAAGACGCACTGACATTTCCCCCCCTTTTTTGGGGGAAAAAAGTGCGTCTTATGGAGCGAAAAATACGGTAATTTTGCCAAGCAGAATTCTATAAATAACCCAACAAGATCAATGTAATTATAGACTGAGGCTATCAATAATAAATTAGTATTTAGTCACAAAAAGTTACTTACAAAGCACCACTAACAATTTGAATAATAGGTTGACATAGACACTATATTATTCAATGAATTTGAAAATTGTTACTGTAAAATATATATATTGGATTAAATTTAAAAATGAATTTTTCTCCTCATAGACAACATAACCTATGATAATTACCTAGCAGATAATCTGCGTTTTATGGAATTGACTCTTATTATCTTGCAGAAAAATAAGTGCCAAAATACATAAAACTGTGTGCCAATACAGCTAAAGAAAAGAAAAATGATGACAAAATACATTTTAAAAAAATGACCTCACTTGAGTGTCACATGTTTTCGTTGGCAGAATATTACATCAAAGGCTATCAGAATTGGGCTATAAATTTAGCAAGCAAAAATTACCAAAAAATGTGTATATTAGTTAATATCCAAGGATGGCAGGTAGACTTTTAGATGGCTGGTGACCAGACCAATTCATGGGTAGAGTTTGGCTTCCCCAAAATGGTATCTAGCTATGCTGGAGCTGTGTGTCCTAGGTTCAGTGAAGTGTCAGATGATGGTATGTGATAATTTGATGATGAAGTCTCCCAGATGATGCGATGATGAGTGTCAACTGAGGTGTGATTCAGAGTGTTATCCTCTTGTAATGATGAGTGTGTGTCTAGATGATCATCCCCCTATTTACCTCCTTGCTGTTTTATCTAGTTGCAAATAATACACTCAGAAAACATGCCTAGAGTGTGGCCCAGAAGGTTTAACCTTATCTATAATTGATGGGTCAGTCTAATTATCAACCCTGTATTTGCCGAAGTGTTCTCTCAATTGGCCACCAGATGGCACCACAGGACCAGAAACTATTTCCATTTTCCCATGGAAATGGATCTACAGTGGGGCAAAAAAGTATTTAGTCAGCCACCAATTGTGCAAGTTCTCCCACTTAAAAAGATGAGAGAGGCCTATAATTGGCATCATAGGTAGACCTCAACTATGAGAGACAAAATGAGAAAAAAAATCCAGACAGACAATCACATTGGCTGATTTGGAAAGAATTTATTTGCAAATTATGGTGGAAAATAAGTATTTGGTCACCTACAAACAAGCAAGATTTCTGGCTCTCACAGACCTGTACCTTCTTCTTTAAGAGGCTCCTCTGGCCTGCACTCATTACCTGTATCAATGGCACCTGTTTGAACTTGTTATCAGTATAAAAGACACCTGTCCACAACCTCAAACAGTCACACTCCAAACTCCACTATGGTGAAGACCAAAGAGCTGTCAAAGGACACCAGAAACAAAATTGTAGACCTGCACCAGGCTGGGAAGACTGAATCTGCAATAGGCAAGCAGCTTGGTGTGAACAAATCAACTGTGGGAGCAATAATTAGAAAATGGAAGACATACAAGACCACTGATAATCTCATTCGATCTGGGGCTCCACACAAGATCTCACCCCATGGGGTCAAAATGATCACAAAAATGGTGAGCTAAAATCCCAGGACCACACGGGGGGACCTAGTGAATGACCTGCAGAGAGCTGGGACCAACGTAACAAAGGCTACCATCAGTAACACACTATGCCGCCGGGGACTCAGATCATGTGGTGCCAGACGTGTCCCCCCTGCTTAAGCCAGTACATGTCCGGGCCCGTCTGAAGTTTGCTAGAGAGCATTTGGATGATCCAGAAGAGGGATTGGGAGAATGTCATATGGTCAGATGAAACCAAAATAGAACTGTTTGGTAGAAACACAACTCGTCGTGTTTGGAGGAGAGAGAATGCTGAGTTGCATCCAAAGAACACCATACCTACTGTGAAGCTTGGGGGTGGCAACATCATACTTTGAGGCTGTTTCTCCATAAAGGGACCAGGACGACTGATCCATGTACAGGACAGAATGAATGGGGCCATGTATCGTGAGATTTTGAGTGCAAACCTCCTTCCATCAGCAAGGGCATTGAAGATGAAACGTGGCTGGGTCTTCCAACATGACAATGATCCCAAACATACCGCCCGGGCAACGAAGGAGTGGCTTCGTAAGAAGCATTTCAAGGTCCTGGAGTAGCCTAGCCAATCTCCAGATCTCAACCCCATAGAAAACCTTTGGAGGGAGTTGAAAGTCTGTGTTGCCCAGCGACAGCCCCAAAACATCACTGCTCTAGAGGAGATCTGCATGGAGGAATGGGCCAACATACCTGCAACAGTGTGTGCCAACCTTGTGTGAAGACTTACAGGAAACATTTGACCTCTGTCATTGCCAACAAAGGATATATAACAAAGTATTGAATTGAACTTTTGATATTGACCAAATACTTATTTTCCACCATAATTTGCAAATAAATTCTTTCCAAATCAGCCAATATGATTGTCTGGATTTTTTTTCTCCTTTTGTCTCTCATAGTTGAGGTCTACCTATGATGTCAATTACAGGCCTCTCTCATCTTTTTAAGTGGGAGAACTTGCACAATTGGTGGCTGACTAAATACTTTTTTGCCCCACTGTATAAAATAATCTGTTATAGGATAATAAAATAATATTTTACTATACCAAGTTGGACTAGGTGAGTCTATCTAAAATATATAGAATACCTGGGAGAGTCTGGTGATTTCTAATTGGTGGCAGCAGCTTTTAAATAGCAATTTTGATATAGCAATTTTGATATAGCAATTGATATACATAAAATAATTATAACACTTTTAAACTATTATTTGAATATAGTTACACATCACAAACACAATTCTCTAACAATATTGATTACAAATAAACAAACATGATGATATTAAGAATCCTTTTCCTGGCATTGGGCTATTTTGTAAAGATAAAATCTTTGTATCCAATCAGCATAGACACATTGCAACATTGTGTTACCCTCTAAAGACATATATTCATAAATATTTCTATGGGAATTATAGTTATATTGTCCGGTAAAAGAGTTTATAATCCATTGGCTTGTAAACAGGCATAGATAGATAGATGTATTACACATATGGGCTTAACCTTATGACTTGCAATTTAGAGTCTATGAACTGACCTATATTATATAAATACTTTGAGCTAGGGAAATAGTAGATTTTTTTTTTTGTAAATAACATTTGTTATTGGACATTTTCATTAACCACTTCTGGCATTGGTTAATCAACTGACACCTTGTGCACACGTATTTTGCATATTTTTTTTATTTTCATAAAGATAGTACCAATTCCACTGGTTGTTTGTAACATGGGAACCTTCTTATCATCTGGCATAGCCCTACCCCCATCTTTCCCCATTCCACCCACCAATAAGTACTGACCCCTGTCTGATCTGTCTACCCCATTATAGTCTAATTCTCCCTCCCCCCTCGATTCTAGTTTAATAAATGTTTTTTCTATGTACTATTGTGCTTTGTATTATTAGAGGACTGTTGACATAGCTCAGCAAAAGTCTTTTCATTCTCAAAGAGAAAATATTCAAAACAAAATATACATAGATGTTGTAAGCAGCCATACAGAAAGAAAACATCTACCACTGGTGAAGCATATCAGATATTGGTATATGAACAACAGTACAAAAATAGGATATAATGATCTAAAGTGAAGTTTAATGTGGTGGGGACCTGCCAAATGTGATCTTAGACTTACATCTAGCAGCAAAAGGTCAAATAACTGGTGGTTTTGGCTATGCAACCAACCCAAAAAACATAAATGTAGTGTAGAAGAAAAGCAGGTTGAGAAATAGAGAAATAAGAGGTAAGTATGTGTCTCTCTATCCCAGCCCCACCAGAAGAGTAAATAAACAAAAAGAAACCCAAGGGTTCACTAGGGTAGAGCTTCTCGTGAGTGCCATGGCTCCCATACCTGATTATGTGTCTCCCAAGGCGAGCAGTGAACATTTCCATGAACTCCACATCTCTAATTCTAGTGTATCCTCCTGAGAGGAAGGTGTACTCTTTTTTCAGTTAAGTGCTAATAAACATTTAGCTGCTGTAAGTATATGTCTCAGCAGCTTTTTATATGGCTTGGAAAGATTTTTAGATAACAGACCCAGTAAAAGCTGTTTAGGGGTAAAGGAAGAGTGGAGCCAAATAATCATTGTAACATTTGGTGAACTGCTCTCCAATAGGGTACAATCAGAGGACAACTCCAGTAAATGTGAATATAGGGGCCTTTAGCACACTTGCAGTGCCAGCAAGGGTCACTGGCCATAGGATGTATGGAGTGCCAAAGTTCCGGGATGAGATACTAAAAATAGAGTAATTTATAAAAATTTTCTTTGCAGAGTGTAAAGATACAGCTTTTGGTGGCTTGGACCAAATAACTTGCGAGGTTTCTAAGGTAATCTCATCCCCCAGAATATTGTTCCACTTGAGCATGTAGGTATGTTTACCTAGTGTCTGGAAGGGTAGGTATTTAACAGCCTATAGGTGTCAGATATTAAGCCTTTCCAAGAGGGTCCTTCTGCAAGGAATCTTTCAAAGGGTGTAGGTTTTAAAAACTGC